ACTTGATATTATTTTTAATGAGATTATTTAATAATCCATTTATAAAAAGAAACAAAAATATTTAATTACCTTTTTTAATATATATATATATATATGAAAACCAAAATAAATCCATTAAATGCTTTAATGACAAAATAATTCACCAAGAAATCAATTCATTTAACGTTGTGATTTTGAATACTTGACAAAATATTTCTTTCCTTCTAAGTATTTTGTTTACCTTATAATTAAATTTAAGTAATTAGTGCCAAAAGCCAAGAGCTTGATTCTAGATAAGATTTCAATTTGACAATTTAAAAAAGATCACAAAAATTTGATTGAGATTGGAGGCCAAAGAAACCACAAAATTTATTAAATCCACAAATTAACCTTATAATTTTTTTTTTCAATCACCAAACCCTACAAAACAAAAAATATATATTTATTATTTTTTTCTAAATTAACATTATCATTATAACATTTTTATATATGTTTTGATCAAAAGTCATAAAGATGAGCTTAGTTTGCATTCCAAAAGCAGGCAATAGTTCAAAATATTCAAATAACCTTGTGATCCACAATGAGTAAACTCCACCAATTAAATTTATAATTATTTTATGACTAAAATTATGTAATTGTTAATAAGAGACGATTGATGATGGACGGTAATCTTCTTCAACAACCGGAATATGTGACTATTACACAAGGGTGTGGCCTTTAATTATACCACAATGTTTCCCTAACATTGACTTTAACTTCGTTGGTGTTTCAATGGAAGATTGAGAAAATACCAATAATCGACTACACGTTCACCTTTGGTATTTTCTCAACTTTTCATCAAAACACCAATTACTCCACCATTTCAAACTTCGTGATTTTAGTGTATTACAATCTTTACTAATATAAAAATAACTTTATAATTTTTTTTATAAGGGAAATTCAAATTTAATTTTTGTAAAGAAGATAAATTAATGTACTTATTATAGAATCAAATAATCAAATGAGAAAATATTTTTATATATCTCTGAAATTTAATTATAAGCTAAACAAAATATTTAGAAGAAAAGAAATATTTTGTCAAGTACTTAAAATCACAACGTTAAATGAGATGATTTTTTGGTAAATTACTTTGTCATTAAAGTATTTAATGGGCTTAATTTGGTTTCCATACATATATTAAAGAAGGAATTTAAATTTTTTGTCTCTTTTTTTTAAATGGATTATGGAATAATCTCATTAAAAATAATATCAAGTTTAATAAAAAAAGAAAATTTAAGTGATAATGATTTTAATCATAATATTTATAAAAATAACTCTATAAAATATTGAATTTTTTTTATAAAAAGGGAATTCAAACTTAATTTTTGTAAAAAAAAAAATTAATGTACCCATTATGGAATCAATTAATCAAGTAATAAAATATTTATATCTATTTCTTAACACCATAAATCTCTTACACTTAAATATTTTTCTTATTAATAAGTGTGTGTATTATCTACTCAAATATTTGTATTTTTAATTTTTTTATTTAATCCCTAAACACTTTAATTTTGTTCATTTTAGTTACTATACTATGCTATGCATTTTTGTTCAATTTATCCCTACGACGTGGCACATTTTTTTTTGATAAATTTTTTTCTCAATCTACCATATTAGCATTACCACTAGCATTAAAACGTCATCATGTTAATACCACATGACATTGTCATATCAGCAAATATGCACTATCCTAATTTTTACAAAGAACAAAATTAATGTATTTATTATGGAATCAAATAATCAAGAAAATATTTATGTACATTTTTTAATACTATAAATCTTTTACAGTTAAACTTTTAGCTTATTAATAAGTATATATATTATCTACTAAAATATTTATATTTTTTAAATATTTTTTTAATTTAGTCCCTAAATATCTCAACTTTATTAAATTTAGTCACTATATTATACATTTTTATTCAATTTAATCCCTATAATGTGACAGATTTTTTTTGATAAATTTTTTTTTCTCAATATACCACATAGTACTAATATATCATTATATCAGTACTATACGATACTACCACGTCAGTAAATATGTCACATCAATACTGACGTCATGAACTTTAACAATAAAATTGGATAATGTTATACATTAAATTGTTTTAATTTTCAAAATTAATTGACTAAACTAGTCAAATTTTGACTACAAGAACCAAATTGATGAAAAGGCACGAACATAAAGATTATTTGGGTACTTTGACCTATTTCATTTTGTGATTCAAACATGTCATGAGAGTTGAAGTCAATAGCATGGTACAATTTGGAAAAGCATTCCATTTGCATGAACTTTTTTAGTCACGGCAAAGTTTCAAAGCATTAATGCCAAAACATGATGCTAAAAACCACCATTAAGTAGATAAATAAAAAGGAATTATAAGTTAAAAGGAAATTCAAAAAAAAAAACTTGTCAAATTCGAAACCATATTATATTATAGCTCACCAAGGTCGGGCCTTGAAGAGTAGGCTTAGGCACATTAAAAGACAAAGAATTTAATTTGAAAATAATAAAGTTTAGTTCAAATTAACAAAAATGCAACATAAATGTAAGAAAAGAGGTTTTGAGTTGGGTTGAGTAGCACCAAACTTGACCTTGAAAACACTATCCGAGCCCAGCTTGAAACGAGTAGGTTTGCAAGTTTGGATATGCATCGCCCTATCCATTGACAGTCCTTCTAAAAACGTTATTAGAGATTTTAATTAAGAGTTTCTCTTATCTATGAGTTACTTTTCCAATTTTCTTTACGGAATCTAGAGCATAACTTTAACACTTTTTTTTTTTTTGGAAGTAAACACTAGTAATTATAGGTACTAATACTAGTAATTAGTAAATTAATATCCATATAACTAGTTTCATCTCTAAATAGTAAATATTTTAGTTTGGTTGATATGATTTTGTATTTTTATTTTTATACATTTAAGTCAACTCTATATATATATATATATATATATATATATACACTCTTGTAACATTAACAATTTAAATTCTTTATATAAAAATTCTTTCTAATTAATTTGAGAGAATACAAATTATTTTAAAATCTTTGAAAAGAAAATTCAGAGAAGATATTAGAAACACACTTGGAATAATTGTAGGACAGATTGCCATCTAGGCTAGATGGAGAAGAAGGATGAAATACGAAGACATGATTCATTTCAAGCGTTTGATGAGATATGCTCAATACTCAATAGCATAGGAAAAAACAGGTTTTTTTTTTATTTACTCATTGCTATATATATTCCAATATTCCACGGAATATTTTATTTTGGCCAGGAAGAAGAGGGAATTTCTAAATTAATTTCTAGGAAAGTTCAGTATGCTCTGATTTGTGTGTGGTATTGGGTGGACTTTTTACTCCTTGGTGGACATCCTTTCCATTGAAATAAGCCTTGGAGGTCAACTTCAGTTAGTGGCCATTCCGATTCTTCGCCGTCGTTGCCTTAACGATCAACCGCTGCACTTCCAAGTTGTTAGCAACCAGACGGAATTGTAACGGGGTTCTTTGAATGGTTATCATTTAATTTAATAAATCTAATGATTGATATTTAATGACTTGGTAGTAAGGTCATCTACCCCTTTTGAAAACCTACATGAAGATATGTCTGAATAAAATTGCTTGATGGTCCAATAAAGCTTGGACTTGACTCAATAGAACAAGATGTAATATCATATCTTGGATTCTTGTGGGTTGATTTTTATTTTTGGCCATTCACATGGGTTGAAACTCTGTTCGTCTAATTTGACCAATGTAGTTATAAGATTAATGCATTTGTAATATATAATTCTTGATGAGATATCAAATATTTGAGTTGAAGTGATTGTCATTATTTAATAAAAATTAAAATTATTAAATATTAAATAATATTTATCAAAACTAAAAAATTTGTATTAAACCAAAGAATGCATTCCTTAAAGACTCAACAACCTAAATTAGATATCTTATCTCATGTAATTAGATAGTAATGTTTGGATTCGGACCATTGTGAACAGAATTTTTACAAATTTCAGAAGCTTAATCATATGTCTCTTCAGAGTATTACAAGTGAAGATTTTGTTAAACAAGCGTCGTATAAAATTTTCTAATAAGATTCTATTTATCAAAAGCTTTTAACGTTGAAAGCAACGATTTGACACTTACCTTAACGATAATATTAACTTTATCAAGTGTTTTACAATATTTTTTAACCAAAACTAAAATAAAAGAGATTAGTGTGCAAATGTGAAAAGCTGGTTGACTGGTTCCGGAAAAGCAAGAACATTTCTTAAAAAAAATAAAAGAAATTTATAATTCTAAAATATAAATATAATTTAAGCAAAAGTAGACAACTGAAACAGGATCCCCGTAACATTCCCGAGAATTGTGGTGTCTCACAGGGGCAATATTCCAATAATGGAATCACTCTCTTTTTCTTTAAATAGCTTTGGGCTCTCCCGCTCCCCCAAATGGAATCTTTGATTTTTCACACACATCGCAATCGTAAATCGTGTATAAAATAAACATTTTCAATGCAAAAGAATATATTTATTAATGGATGAAAACTTTTTATTTTATAAATGTAAAATTATCTTATATATTTTACTGACGCATGACATTTGGGAGAAAGAATCACTTTATGATGAACTTATGGCAATTTTAATATCTAACTTATCATGAATATAAATTTTTAATCTAAAAATATATTTTTATTACATTATTTAAATTCAATACACTTGACTTTAAATCTATTTATATTATTATTTCGTGAATGGGTACGACGGGTTTCAAAGAATAGTCGAAGGATTACATAATGTTAAAAAAAATTGACTAATAAAATTTTGTGAATTAATAGGAAAGCAGTGTTTTTTTTTTATTACAATTTTTGAGGTTCGGCCAGACATCATGGTCACATAAAAATTAACATCAAACGGTCTAAAGATCAAGCGGGCTTTGAACAGGGGGCGCACGGAGCATACTCAAATTTTGTATAGATAAATACACGTGGTTGACATGATATAATTACTGTAATTAGGTTGAAATTAAGGTGCACTTAATAGTGTTATTTTACCAATTACAAAGATTGATGTAATCTTAGTGAATCAGATGGCACCTCTATTTTATTTCAAATTTGTAAAGATTACCCTAAACTTGACTTTGTCAATTCCATTTTCTGCTTTTGATGTCAAATGGGTCCCATTCCAGGCTGAGATTCACCCCCTCTGCCCAAACCCTTTCACACTCAGTTTCTATCAAATTTTGGAATTCCTTTGTACCTCTTCCCTGTTTCCTTTTTTATTGGCTTGCCCCTATATACGTGATGAAAGAATTTCCCCTATTCACCGGCATGTGTTTGCCAAAAATTCCAGCAATTTGGAATCAAATGTTTTTATTTAATGGACACAATACGGCTTAAAAAGCGAGTCCCTCTGATCCAAAAATAGATTTTTTTTTTAGTGAAGTATCATAGAGAAAATATGACTTTTCAAAATCTGAATGTGGATTCTAGATGAGGTTTTCGTTAGTCGGCCACGTTTTCGTTTTAGTCACATTAATTTTGAATTTTATATGTTTACGAGTAAGTGTATTCTCATCCCAAAGCTTACCTATACAAGCACTGAATTTTCCAACGGAAGAAGAAAAGAAATGAAGCTATAGCAATATCATATAGATGATCCATATTTCAACAAATTCGATTCAACAATTCCCACTGTAGGCCCATGGTTTTTGAAAACAAGAATCCTTTCACCCCCCTTGATTACTACAAAGAAACTCCCAACTTCAAACAGTGGAGTCTATCTAGGAATAAACATTGGCATAAAAGAAGAAAAAAAAAAAGGTGTTAAGTAAAACAATATTTACATTGGTCAATTGTTTCTCCCTAAGACAAGTCAGTACCTAACTTTCTCCTTTATGTCCCTCTCAAAACATGAACGTAGCGTTACTCCTATTCTCATTGGAGGAAGGTGTTCTAGAAGGTGGAACCTGTGAGGAAGCACCCTCCACAACAAACCCATCCGACCCTTCCATGTTGGGCCTCGGGTTCCCCCCTAGTCTCTGAAGGAAGAGGTCCCCTGCTCCTGGATTATTGCTGCTCAGTGAAAACATGTACGGCTGGTTTTGCTGCTGGAATTGATGTTGTTGCTGAGGCTGTTGTTGCTGTTGATATTGCAAATGAAATCCTCCCGGAGGAATCATCAGAGAACCAGGGTTAACATGTGGTTGACGTACTCCAAAACCGAACCCGAAATTTGGTCCACCAGAGTGGCCTGGAAAAGGTGCACTGGGACCACCCGTGAATTGTTGAACCATGGCTCGGAAATTTGTAGTATCCGTATTCAGCAAGGTAGTAGGGGTTCGCCTCGAAGCCCTAGATCGTCTTCGTAGCGGCTTCGCAACGCGGCCTTCGGGACTCAAATGGCCAGCACTGGAACCAGCTGGACCGGAGCCTAATGGGCTTGGCGCGCTGCTCGAGGTGATTGTAGTGGTAACAACAGTGGCATCAGAGCCTTGATCACCAAACACTGATTCCGATGGCACGACGCGACCACGATTCGGTGCTTCCTGGACAGAAAGATTTTGCTGATAAAATTGCGCCCAATCGGTAGGACCAGACATGGTTTCACTCATGTCCAGGGGGGCAACCAGAATTGGGAAAAGAGAAGATGAGTTGGTATTTTGCTTTCGTGAGAAGGGAAGAAGAGTGCCTTAATCTGTGGTATATATGGTGGCTTCAACGTGGTCAAAGGAAGAATATTGGGAAAATCCTGGCCATTGATTTTTTGTTAAAGTTAGATTCCTCGAAGGAACGGCACGTGATACGGCACGTGGGGTATGGCGGAAATAAAAGAGAGGAGAGAGAAAAAAAAATGTTTGGCAGATTTGTGTGGGTTCTGGAAGTCGGGGGGAATTGATCATTTGAGCAAAACGGACTGTTTCCTCGAAGCAGCGATTGCTTCTCAGGCTGCCGTCATCTATCCAATATCCACGTCAGCATATGACTTGCTTTGCGGTAGGTGGACGCCATGACTTTGCGCAGTCTCCGAACATGTAACATCCGTCTGGTCTACGGAAACACCCCAGTCCCTTCCCCTTTTTTTAAATGTTGTAAATTAATTTTGTTATTTACACATGATTATTATCATTTCTCTTCTCGAAATTTTGAATAATTTAACACAATCTATAAATAGTAGTAATATTTGTCAAAGCACATTAATGCTTTTATTTAAAATAACTCGTTCTCACAAGGTGTTTACATTTTAAAGTTTTTTTTTTGTAAAATACTTACATGTATAATTAAAAATTACAATCTATTTTGGAGTATTATTTAACATATATGATATTATTATTACAACCAAAAAATCAATTAATAAATTAAATAAATTAAAAAGTCAACATAAAATTTGAATGAAAGTCATATATAGTAAAATTTGAATCTAAAATTTAAAAATTTAAAATTTTAACTTTTGATATTACACGATTGATCAATATCTTTTTTAGTGATCTTTATATTGTAATTGTATAAATCTTTGTATTCAAATTAGATTATAATGTTATGAGAATTTTTGATCAATTAAACGAAAAAACTTAACATGATATTCAGATGTTAAAATTCAATAAAATCACTTTTTTTTAAAAAATATTATGTGATTCACTTTGCACTTTTTGAACTTCGGTTGGTCTAATTATATATATGAAAATAAATTAGTAGTCCCTTTTATGTGTATGTCTCGTATTCCCTTCAAGGTTGGATAATTCCTTGGACCCCGATAACGAAGGTGGAAGCCTAGAGGAATGCCAAAAAGTGGAAAAGTAAACCACATTCTGTCACTTCCTTGTGAAGGAGAAAAGAGACCAAAGAAAATTCGAAAGAGTATATCTGCAACAACAATCTTTTCATATTGAGAGATGAGGTAGGTACATTAATTTATTATTTTCTATGGAGTTCTCCTAATTTTGAGAGGAAGGTTGTAAGGAAAATTGAATAATATAATATAAAGAAAAGCATGTGACGAATTGAAAACTTTATTGTCCTATTATAAATGATCAAGTTGGTGTAGTCTATTCAATATTGTATTTTCAGTAACCTCTCAGTAAATGTAGAAAAATACAAGCATCTTAAGGGGTTTGAATAGCCCATGAAAGTCCGATCCTGCACAGTGAGGTGTACTGTGAGAAAATGAAAGGTTACTCCCTATTAGTCAGTCTACTTAATTGACTATATGCTTGCAAAAACAAAAACATTAGAAGTTTTTCTCTCCTGCTCTTTCCTCCTCTAATTAACCACTCAAAATATGTAACATATATACCTCTAATAATTTCCTGCAATTCCCTATTTTATTTTTAAGTAAATAATTTGAGAAAAGATTTGGAGAAATTATTTGCCATTTCATTAAAATCTCTCTTTCCATGATAAGTTTGCAACAATCACTTTGTTAAACTAGTAAAATGTGTGGATCCATCCATGCGTGCTGATATGTTGTCTCTTAATTGGTTTGGCTTGTAATTAACCTATTAACATGGTAAAAAAAAAAGGGTTAAATTTATAAATCTCAAAAAGTTCCTTTTCCTCTATTTCCTCTGCCTCCCTCTCTTCCTTCTTTTCTTTTCTCGTAGTATTTATCCCATAGAAGAGTAGTTTAAGGGAAATTTTATATTAAGGAATAGGAACCAGTTAAAGTGCATTTCAAACCCAAAAAATAAACATGCATGGCCAAGTTAATAATCTCATGTTTATATATATATATATATATGTTTAAAAAGGAAATAAAGTGAAAGAAGGAAAATCCAGCAATAAAGCAACTAAACAAAAAGGAAATGTTGAGCTTTTTTTTTTTTGTTATAAAGATTTATTTTATTAATTGTTAATAGTCTATTTAACATTTTGCTGCGGTTTCAATTACATTATAGATTCTCATGTTTCACGAGTCCAGTATTAAACAACCACAAAAAGGTGTTCAATGTCTTACTAAATTGTTTGGTCTCATTTCATGGAAAAACGATCTTTGGAAGAAAAGCGTTATCACTCTTTATCACGTTTACACCTTGTTTTCCTCCCAATTGCGATGATTGTGGGCTTTAATTTATCCTTTTTCCATTTTTTAATCATGTTAGGCATAAATTATTCAATTTGATCCCACCGGCTCTTCTCTTAATTGTAAAACCAAGTTTAATAAACAATTTAAGATTCGTCTACGTATTGTTTATCCTTGTAATTGTGAATTAAAGTATTCAACTCTCTGTTTTTCCCACACATGACCATTTTTTTTTTAAACAAGAAGCACAGGCTCAAGTTTAGGGTTTCACATTTAGCTTAACCCCAAGTATATACACTCACCTCTTTATTTAAAGAGTCAAGTTGAAATCTCTTTTTTCTTTTAAATAAAATAAAAAGAATTAAGAAAACATGAAATCTCATTTATTAATTTTTGGCCCATTACTTTGTTATTTTTTAAAATTTTTTTCAAAGTTATTGTAATGTAAAAAATGAATTGTATAAAGAAAAATTACATCTAATTAAAAATTAGTACATAACTGAAAAGTACTATAGCACCCATCCCATAAATATTTGTCTTTAGTTCTTTTTTTTGTAATCAATTTTTAAAAGATTTTTACCATAAATATTTTAAGTATATATTTGGAAACACCTTCATTCAAAGCTGTTAATTATTATTTTCTTCTAAAACTTTTAATCAATAGTAAATTCAAATAAAAAATTAGGGAAAAAGTCAAATAAAGACTACATTTATGGGAAAATGTACTAAAATAGTAACACCAATTCAAATATAATGATTAAGCCTAAAATAATTTCTTTTTTTCTCACGCAAAAGTATATTACATCTTATGAATAACTCTATCTTTTACCTTTTGTTTCTTAAAACAATAAGAACAAGAATAAGCTACCAAATGTGGCATAAAAGAACGAAGATTGATTTGATTTCTATTTTATAAATTTTAGGAAGAATGAATTTGAATTCAACTATTAAAACATAAATTCATATATTTATCTGAACCAACTAGAATTTTGATCTTGTTGACATTCTGTGGGAGTTGTTACAGAATCTTGACATGACTTAATCATAATTACAATAAGTTTATTTAAGTTTAAATTTTAAAGTAATTTCAAATTTTATCTTGAAAATTTAAGTAATTTATATCTAATTATCATGAGTTAAGAGTTTATAATTATAGTGAAACCATGTCAAGATTCCGTTGATCAAAACTCCAAAAATGCTCAATTAAAATTTGATTTTCACTTTGCCTCTCGTGCAATATTAAACAATTGTTTATTTATTTATTTATTTATATAAATACATTAAAATAGACTCATCATTTCATTATTAATTCTTCTTTTGAAAGTCAAAAGAATAAAAATAAAAATTTCTTTTAATGTTTACATGCAAAAGTGGATCGATAAGCTAGCTTTCGTTGAACAACAATATTTTAATTAACTAGTACATCGTTTTTGGTCTTTTCTTTTTGTTTTTTTTTTCCTTTCCTCAAATACTTATCAATTTATTTTCTGCTTTTATTAGATGAAAATGGGATATACATTTAAATCGATTCTCCTTACAAAACTTTCCTTAAAAAACAACAAATTTGATCTCATGACTTTTTAATAAAGATTTTGTGATATATACTATCTCATCATTTGACTTAATTATGAATGCATATATTCCCTATTCAAAAAAAATAGACTTGAATTCTCTTTTCAATAAATAAAGTAAAAAAGAGACTTCATTATAACATACGAAATAACTACATATATATATGTGACATCAAAAAATTTCACAGCATATTTTTGAAAAATAGATTTGAATTAACATTTTTTCTTTAACCTTTAAGATGTTTTTCCGAAAAACAAGTTTCTTTCATATTTATCATTGGTCCTTTAGGTTTAAATGATCAGGTTAAGCCGTCGGAAATGACTCTATAGCACCTTCAGCTATGGGGTAGCATGTACTATACACGTTTTGACAAGTATATAGCTATAATGATTATAGATTCATTTATTAAACTTTATTTCTGTAAGAATGTGAACATGAACAATGGTATTTGGGAGTTCTCCAAATTAATTAACATTATTTATCAAGATGGATGCCACTGACCCTAAGAGTGGGCCAAGTTTCTTCAATATTTAGATTTTAACGCACCCTATATTGCATGCACAAGTTTGCCGACGAACAATAAATTTTTATTAACTGATTAGGAAAGTAAGCATTGCATGTAAGATACGTAGTAGCAAGACATGTAAAACTTGAAATGCAAAAATCTCAACTCTAATATCATTTTAAGAAAATATTTGGATAATCGATTATTTCAAAAACTTAATTCGAAATTACCCGAAACATTTCTTTTATAAAAAAAAAAGGAAAACAAAAGGGTTTTTGGTTAGAAATGAAAACAGAGTTGAGAAAGGATGTCATATAAGCAGTAAAGCAAAATTATTATTAACTATAGATAAATTGATTAAAATTCAAAGGGCATGTTGCCTAGGTTGTTTTCCAAGCAATATCGTCTGCGTCTCAGCCATCTGTTCTTGCTCGAATTGCCGCAAACGTGCATATATTGACTGATCTGTCTTATTAATATCATTTCATAAAGACCATTTTCATTTTTTCTATATCGCCCATTTTTTTTCCGTTGTAAAACTAATTTCAAAGGCGTAAAATATTTACATATGTCCAGATGCAGACGTCGGACAAACACCTGATGGCCCCCTAAAGTGGAGTGGGCACTTACTGCTGCTAGTGGAAGAGGTTAGGCTTGGGCATATCCCCACACGCCAATACAAACCCATATCTCATCTCTAAAACTCCTCAACCAAACCAAAACCCAACTAGCAATGGCAGCAACTGCCAACGCTTCATTCCTGCAGCTATCCTCTACTGCCGTTTATGGCAGTTTCCGAACTAGTGATTTCACGTTTTTGGGTGTCTCAAAGCCTCCTTCATTTCCCTACCAAAAACTAACAACCTCTGCTGCCATCAGGTAACTGGAAAATGGGAACTTTTAACATAGTCTTGCGAGCTGCAAGTGACGTAAAAATGGGTTGGATTTGGATTTGTTTAATTGATTGTATTTCTGGTCAATTTTGTAGATGTCAGTCCACCAGTACCGATGAACCAAAAGCTAAAAGGAATCTCTTGGATAATGCAAGCAACCTTCTTACTAATTTCCTAAGTGGGGGAAGTCTTGGTTCTATGCCTGTAGCTGAAGGTGCTGTTTCTGATTTGTTTCGTCAACCTCTCTTCTTCTCTTTGTATGATTGGTTTTTAGAGGTACTTGACTACTTTTTTTTTTTCTTGCAAATTTTGAATATGGACATATAACTGATATTGTCTTGAGTTTATGCTACCGTGACCACCTCTGCCTGTTCTGGTTCTGCCCCCAGCAACTTCTACTATTGTAGATGATAGCAAATCGGTAGAGGGATCAATTGAACTTTTGGGTTACAAGTATTTTTTTTTAGTACGCGTGAAAGTGTATTGGACTTGGACTACACAATGGGAGGTGACTTCTACCATCCCATAAACCCCCCGTCCCAAGATTTCGACTTGAGACTCTGACTGTTTTCCAACATGAAAGTTTCAAGTCTTAAATGTTGGGATGTACTCTTGGGGAAATTTGAATTACTAACACATATTTGATTCATAACAGTTACTATGCTATGTAACCTTGGCTTCAGTGTTTTCCCCTTATCATGTCCTATGGTATTTTGTTGCTTATCATTGTTGATAATTTGGAGCTCCTGATTCTTACTGTTTTTTTTTTCTTTGGTTTGATGTCTTAATTGATGTGGCAGCATGGCTCTGTATATAAACTTGCTTTTGGGCCAAAAGCTTTTGTTGTTGTATCAGATCCTATTGTTGCAAGGCATATTCTTCGAGAAAATGCATTTTCCTTCGACAAGGTACTGATTTTATGTCTTGGTAGTTGATTTCCTTGCCCTTCAAAAATTTGCTTGTTGCTTCTTCTATGACCCTAAGTGTACTATGTTAATTAATTATTCATGTATGTAGTTATTCATTACTGTAATTATTTACAAGCCAACTCCATATGTAAAATTTTTATTCCCATCTCATTTTCATGTGAACATGTATGCATCTAGAGACATAAGTTTCATTTTCTCATTTTGTAGTGTTCCAAATTATTTGACTTTGAAAGACATAAATACTTTTTAAAAATAACTATCATCAATGAGATCTCTAATCAACCAACAGAATCAGCCTAGCAATTGCTTAGGTAGAAAATCTTAAGTTTGCTTGCAGTGTCATCCATTCTAGAATTTAGCATCCTTCATTTTAATCAGTCATATTTCTTGATTAAAATTTTGAATCCACCTACCCAAATTTTCATATTTTAACCAGGGAGTTCTTGCTGATATACTAGAACCAATAATGGGCAAAGGACTTATACCTGCCGACCTTGACACATGGAAACAAAGGAGAAGAGGTATGAAATTTATGTTACTTGCTTTTGAATTTTATCTGCATATGGTGAGGACAGAAGGCACTTCTTTTGTTCTCTGACTGATAGGTATCTGCAGCATTATTATTTATGGTTTTGAGCAGTCACTTGTGATCTTGAAACTATAATGGTCGCTTGCTCATCATAATAGATTAAAAGACTACGCTTGCTCTTTTCATACAAACTCTGGTATATAAATTTGATTGGTTCAAAATTTATCTTTTAAGATATATATATATATATTTATTTATTTTTGGAATTTCATCCACTCACTCATGAACTTCAAGCTTCAAGTTCCTTCTTTAACATTTTAATAAATCCTCAGATATGCTATTCTTTTGTCATTCTCAATTACTGGTCTGATTGCGGATGTCTGTAGAATTTCTTTTCAATGCTTCACATGTTTTGTTCCATCATATTTGGTCAACATGCATTTCTGCTCAAAATCCTTTCTTTTGGATGCTTACAAGTTAACTGTAACTTTTGAATTGCTAGTTTGATTATTGATCCGACTTCTCGCTGCCCATTTTAGCTTTGATTTCTACATAAAGACATTAAAAATATCATGCATAGAACAGGTCAAGATTCTTGAGATGGAAGCAAATTTTCTTAAGGATACCAGGAGAGTTAAGTAGAATGGTCTTAGATTCTCCTCTAGCATATACATCATTATTAAAAAAAAAGAAGAAAGGGATAAGTTCCATAGATGTGGCATACATTTCAGTAGACTAGTCTGAGAGCATGATTATATTGTCAATACCTAATATTTTGACTTAGTGGACCTGTGGCTAAATATAAAGTTCTATGCTTACTCTTAACTGTTGTAGTTTCTGGAGATATTTATGACTTTTTGAATTTATGATTATCATTTATATTGAGGAGATACAAATTATTACAGATAATATCTTTGGTAAAATTTAATATGTTTAAAAAATATGCAGTTATTGCTCCTGGGTTCCATGCATTATACTTGGAAGCTATGGTCAAAGTATTCACTGATTGTTCAGAACGAACAACACTGAAATTTGAAAAGCTTCTAGATGGAGAGCATTCACGTGGAGGAGAGGCAATTGAGTTGGACCTTGAAGCAGAATTTTCAAGCTTAGCTCTTGATATTATTGGACTTGGTGTCTTCAACTATGACTTTGGTTCCATTACAAAAGAGTCTCCTGTGATTAAGGTCCGACACTTTCTGGAAATCTGCAATTCCGTTGAATTTTTCTCTTGTAGAGCACCTCAGCATGGTACTCTATATATTTTAACTAATTGGGTTGCTGGTAGCTAGTGAAATAATACACAGTAAGATGTATGAAATTAAAACATTTTGTGTCCTGTTTGTCTCATTAATATTTTGTGTTCATGTAGCCTTCTTATTAGCTATTACTTGCAATGTTTGTGCTATACCTGTGCCTGCTACTAGTCATGTGAAGAACTATATGACCATTTTTACCATCTGGAGATGCTGAAATCTAGTTGCTTGCTCAACCCTCTGCATAGAGGACACTTTCTTATCCTGTCTTCAACCTTCTCATCATAGTCTGATGAGCAAATTTTTGATTTTCTTGTCATTAATTGTCTCATGTGCATTAGAGCTTATAGTGTGTGCATTCCGTCCCCCTTAATAGTTCATCTTTAACCTATCGACTCCAGGCCTGAGAAAGGATGTTGGTGGCATAGCTGGGCATACAGTTTTTGAATGTTGGTGGCTTTGTGGCCTTAGGTGCTATTGGGACTAGCACAAACTATATAAGAGTTTGGGCTGAAGTTTTTGACGTAAAGTAGCTTAATTATGCGCTTATAAAAATGTTGTTTCTTTAGAAAAAGGGTAATATTACTTGATGTTGGTTGACTCTGAAGTGAGGCTTTATGAGTAGAGTCCTGCTCTTCTGTAATTTGGGACACTAAGGTGTTCTCTTAAATACTTTACTTTGTATTATAGATAATGCATAAAAAATGGTGAAGTTTTATTCTACTCTGCTATAATCAATATAGTGAAAGAAGGAAAGATCAATAACTACACGATTCTTGGCAAAAACAGGCCAAATTGTGAAGCTGTTCAGTCCACCCACCCCTCTTGTAACAAAAAGGTTTATACTTAACCTTGCAAGGATAGAGGATTACAGCACCCTTATCTTAAGTGTGGAAATGAATGGGTATTTGAGACATGAGGGTATAAGTTTCCAATTGGTCTGTACACTGTCTTTTTCTGCCATAGGGACTCTAGAAAGGTTTCATTACATCTTATTGCATAGACCAACAATTGCAAAATAATTCTAACAATTGTTGATTATGTTGTCTTAGGAGACCAAAAGCAACTTGTTTCCCTCTTGCCACTTGCCCTTTGGCCGAATTATACATTAGTTTGTTTTTTTTCTTTGTTTCAATGTCCAATTGTTCACAATTTCTGTAGTAAACAGAAGTTTGCAGCAACAAGAACAGCTAAGTTTTCTGTTTGAATAATGCTGTGTGTTAGTATTCAGCTTCAACTGTTACTATGAAAGAGTTTAGTGTCTGCCGATCCTCCAATATTTAGGTTACATTAAGAAAGCCTTACATTTTAAGCCACATTTATGCTCTAATTTCATACTCACCCCTTTAAACACACATTGCAGGCAGTATATGGTACTCTTTTTGAAGCTGAGCATAGATCCACTTTCTACATTCCGTACTGGAAAATTCCTCTGGCAAGGTGGGTTGTCCCTAGGCAACGGAAGTTCCAGTATGACCTTAAAATAATTAATGACTGTCTTGATGGACTCATCAGAAATGCAAAAGAGAGCAGAGAGGTTCGAAATTTAATCCATAAATGAGCATCACTCTAATATTTATTCATTTTTATAGAATTCTTTTCCCAACTTCATTTTCTATCAGTTTCTTATTCGTTGTTGATTTTACTTAACGAAAACCATGCTTATATCTTAATGAGTTTGACTTTTCTAATTGTTTTCAAATAACCATTGTTTGGAGAATATTATGAGAGTGTTGCTTTATCTTTCTTGTGCTATGTGTATGAGAAAATTAGGATTGATCACAAAATTATGGCAGGAGTTTTCACTCAGCCCTGAAGTTTTCCTTCTAGTGCAAATACAAGCAGTGGATTATTTTTCCTAATGTCTCGAGAATAGGAAAGTAACACTCATAAAACAAAATTCTTATAGGGATCTCATGCATTGGGCCTTTAGAACTCACAATGACTGAAATTTTAAAGTGAAGTTGGTTGACATTGAAAACATAGAATGTTCATCATACTGGGCAAAATCATGTGTTATGTCTACTGTGAAGATTAAGGTTCTGTTGATACTTTTGTTATTTGTCTTTTGTTTTCAATTCATATTTTATCTTTTACTTTTTGCTTTCTATTCATTTTTGTAAAAAGGCCACATAGCAAAAGCATCAATTAAACGGAGCCTAAATAAGTTGAAAATTAACTTTAAGCAACTTTGTTTGATGTAATTTCTGTGACACAAAACAGTCTCAAAGAATATGATCCTTTTCATTACTAGAAAGAAAATGAAAGTGTAGCACAGAGTAACCTCAAGTCCCACCTGAAAGCCAGGTACAATAAATTCAAGTTGATGGGTCACCCTCAGCTTTTTTTTTTTTTTTTAA